CTCCCCCCTAATTATAACCTTTGTCGAACTACAACTTGTAAGCTGGTGTCCTCGAGTCCTAGCCATTGCCAGGTCCACCCTTGACCATTACTGTGCACACTGCATAAGAATCTGTTATGCTTAAGTATGGTATGGTTGAAGATAGCGATTAGAGCCGAGATGGCTCAGATGAAAGGCTGTGGTTTGGATTTAAAACAATCTCTCCCTTTCCCTCTCCCTCCCTCCCTCCCTCCCTCCCTCTCCCTCTCTCCTGTCCTGATTATAACCTTGTCGAACTACAACTTCTAACCTGGTGTACTCGAGTCGTAACCATTGCCAGGTCGACCTTCAACCATTACTGTCACTTTTAAAAAGAAAATTAGTTTTGATTTATTTTATCATAGTGTTCTTTACAAATTACATAATATTTATGAAGTTGGCCTTCGTAATTTTCTTTGTCTCTTCCTCTCTCTTCCTCCTTTCTCCTTGTTGTCCCTTTTTTTCCTTGTCTCTTGATTTATTTTAAACATTTTCTGCATTTTAAATATTTTATATATTAGTAGATTTAATAAAAAATAAAATGCCAAAAACGCTTGTGCACCCATCTACGCATTAGGCTCAAGGACTAGCGTCCGGAAGCACCCAATAAGTTCTAAAACATTGGCCATTATTGCCTTCTCAAGAGACAAACATACATACATATAGACCTATGTTACATGGGTGCTGGTGCATGTGCGTGTTCAAATTGGTAAAAAGAAGGATACAGGGACAACTATTTGTACACATACTGAAATTAATAATTTACATGGGATCGAATGTTTTTTGTTCATTTACATATTATGAAAAAAACTTCCTATAACATTCTTATGTTTGATTTTGTCAAGTAGATTATACATTGGAAACCATTGCTTTTTAACTAGATGCCTAAAAAGATCTTTTAAGATCATACTTTTGAACTGGCTGTGTGCTGAGACAGACCCGACCAATGTCCATCGAATTGCAGGAAGTGGACGTGGAGGGTAAGATATCAGTCCGAAAAGTGAATGATGAGTGTTTTAAACTAAAACATGTATTATATAATTGATTACTCGTCTGAATAAATGTATGTGTATTAAAAGAGTGTCAATAAGTGTCCAAGGAGTGTCAAACACGGAGAGGGGAGCCCAAAAGAGGTGACAGGTTAACTTAGATATAGACACAAATTCTCAAGTGCCATCAATCAACAAAATAAGAAGAAATGGATGAAGAAAACATGCTCGCCCTCCAACATATCACCATTACTGAACTGCAGTTCTGCAGTTCTGTAATATACTTTGGCTGGGTTAATTTCCCTAATATTTGAATTTTCCATGAATGGTAAACATCCTAAGGTTATAGAATCTTTTCTTACAATACTATGATGTTAATCGCTCTTATACTTTTGTCTTACAGCTTCTTTTTGTTAATACTTATTTGTACTTGCTTACATTTTGTTGAATTTCCTAAATTGTTTTGCCTCTAGCCTTCAGGCACACATCTGTCTTTCCTCCTGAACCTCATCCCCTTGCTTTTGAAAAGGGTATTGGAAGAACACCAAAATTTGCTAACACTTGCATTCAACCGGTTGAAGTTATGATTCAGGTAACTCTTTGCTGCTATTTTGATTGCAATATTAGTTTAGTCGCGTCCCAACAATTGGAGTCAGGAACCTCATCAGTTTCAGGTTCTTAAAAATAGGAATTTGGCTAAGATAGTGAGTGTCTCCATTACCAAAATTTATTCTGCACTTGTCTTCGTGTTTTCATGGTTTTCCCATAAATCAGCGCATTGTTTCACTTCCCTTTTTGCACCGATGTTTCATATTGCTTCTACTGATTTTTGTGGAAGCTATAGAGGTTGTTTGGGGAGGATTATTTTTTTGGTCAAACTAGCTTTTAAGCTAGCTTTTTCATTTCTATCTGATTGGTAAAATGCCTAATAAGTTAGCTTGTAAGACCCATTTTAAAAAGCTGGTATAACCCAGCTTTTAAAAAACTAACTTATAAGCTCATTTAAAAGAGCTAGGTCTGACCAAACAAATTACTATTATACTCAAACAATTTTTATAGCATTTTTATCAAACAACCAAAAGCCAATGAAAGCTAGCATAACTTAAAAGCTTAAAAAATAAGCGTTCCCAAACACCCTCATAGGCCTTTACTGATAATGTGATACCCTTCTGAGTGCTCTGCTATGATGACGATGCAGTTAGAGGGATCAGGAAACTGGCCCTTGGACATTACAGCCATCGAGAAGACCAAATCTGCTTTCCTTCTGAAAATTGGAGAAAGGTAAGGAATGAACTACTTTTGAGGAACAGTTTTTTCCTTGGTGTTTTATATGTCTTTGTTCACCAATAAGTTTATAATGTTCCCAGTCTTCAGACACGTTGGGGTATGTTTTGCACTGCTACTGAGGAGGCAGTGGATGTATTTACATCTGGATATGCATTTCGTCTAAAAATTTTGCATGAAAGAGGCCTAAACTTTGTCAAAACCCAAGGTGAGATGGTATATCAGTTGGTCCTTAGTATGCAAATGTGCTTGAGTCATCGTTTTCCACTTCTTGACGTAAGGAGATGGTTTCTCAGTAGGTGGAAATAATAAAGTAAAGGGTCCTGTATCCATAGACAAGGAGCTATTTCTCCGCAGCCAGCATTCTAGTATGATTAATGGTCTACATGGACGTTACCCTATATATGGGTCAGTTGTCAGGTACCACTCATATAATATGGATTAATTACTCGTCACAGTCGTACTTAAATCACATCTTTCTTGTTTGCCTTTATTATTTATCTATTAATAATTTTATTTTTCTTTCCTTTTTTTGAAGGCTTGCTAAAAGATGGGTTTCTTCGCATCTTTTTTCTTCTTTCTTTACAGAGGAGGCAATTGAGTTGGTAGTCGCATACCTATTTTTGAAGCCATTTCCATTTCAAGTTCCTTGCTCACGAGTTACTGGATTTTTGAGGTGCATTAGTCTTTCTTTAATTATTTTGACTATGCTTGATTCCAAAAAGGAAGGAAAAAAAAAGAATTTTCCTATTCCCTTAACTCTTTTTGTTTTGACATGGAAGCCACCAATCATGTGTTATCTGATATTTGGCATATTTTATCAAAGAGTGTCATTTTCCCTAGTGTTATTGGATAAATAATTCAGAGTATATTGAAATGTATATTGTTTGACTGCTATTGGAAAACCTGCTGGCGGTTATTGTTGAGAATTGAACACTCAAAGTTTTGACTATAGTACATACGACTTATTATATATAAACAGCGGGAAAAAATGCTGCATTCACTCTTTCTACATTACTTCACTCCTACAATAATCGCAGATTCGCACAGTTCACTTCCAAGTGGCTTTCAGCCTCTCAACAGAGGGCTTTTAACCTTAGAATCCTACATTCCTACCTTAACGATTTATATGACTCTGATGTCAGTCAAAACCAACTTTGCCTATGGTTGCAAAACTGACTTAGAACGTCGGTTGCAAACTGACGTTGAAGGTTGGTTGGCAACTGACTTCATAGTTGATAATCAACCAACTATGAGAGTTTGTGCTAATTTTAACAGTTTGACCCCAAAATCTAAAAACATATTAGCCATCTGTCAGTAAGTGGTCGTTCTGATTCAACTCCTTTTTCTAATATTTTAATTTGTAAATCTGATGCTATTACCTTCATCCTCCTTAATCTTTAGTGATGGATAATTTGTAATGTTTACCCATAATAATGCTTTTTAAAGATCTTAACGACTCCTCTTTTTGCACCCTAATTTCAAATGGTTTCCTTGATTTTACCTCTGCAACTTGAATGTCAGGTTCTTACGGTTGTTATCCAATTATGACTGGACCTTCTCCCCATTAATTGTGGACATAAATGATGATTTTACATCCAATGATGAAAAGGAGATAAATGTGAGTAAAAGATATCATAGTTGAATTTTGGCAGTGTTTGATGTCATCCTTTTTGATCCGGTCATTCTCTGATGAAGATTATCGTTTATGAAATAGGAAAGCTTTATCTTAAGCAGAAAATCAAATGAAGGCAATGTTCAAGATGTAATGCCAGCAATGTTCTTGGCCACAACTTATGATAGGACATCTGAAGCCTGGACCAAGTTTTCACCAAAGAGATCGGTGAGTAATTGCGGTAGTATAGTCCTCAGCAAGACATGTCAGTGAGCAGTTTCACTTCCACATGATCATTTTGTTTGATATTCATTGAACTTTGTTAACTTCATTTGTGTGTTTTGAAAAGACGTGATGAACTTGACATGTTAGTTAGATTTGTATGCCCTAATAAGTTAGATGTGGTCTAATTGGACCTACAGACTTGTTTCCTGGAAAAGCATTGACCCCTCAGCAGCCCATCTCATCAACTCTCAAGGCCACTGTGGATTTTATACTTACTTTTTATAAAATGCCAGTTTAATTGAACATTTCAGAAGCTTCTTTAATGGTTGTACTTTTGGGTGCATAACTGAGATCCATAATTATGTTGCCAATCCCTTGTTTTTGGTATACTGCATATCTTGCCCAGGTCAGATTGAAAACAATGTAGTGTTTGTTGCACCCATCCTGTACAGAACTAGTTAAATCTTATTGGTCTCCATGATAAGCATACCATGGACAGTCTCGTTATATTTTCTTTTAATAAGAAGTGCGAATCAGAGTAATTGGCATCAGTGGCTATCATGGGCAGTCTTGTTATATTTTCTTTTAGTGATAGATGTGTAAATGAGAGTAATTTGCATCAGTCATTATATAAGAATGGGTATTCAATATCAAACGGTCGTTATACTTCCAGCTTCCCCTGGTACGTCCCAAGTTACTTTACTTGCCCATTGTCATTGCAATTTCTTTCAATCAAGTTTAATTTTGATTGACCTCCATAAATGTTGAAGATGGCTAGGGTTGGGCGTGGGCCAGGTCGACTCGCGGGCTGACCCGGCCTAGCCTGCCATGGTACAAGACTCATGACCTAGCCCGGCCCACTCCCGACGCCGACCGCATGATACACTCGGGTCATGGATCGGGCTAGTCCAGCCCTAGAACCCGGACCAGAGAAGTAGGCAGCGCCATGGTCCGGCGCACGTCCGACCCGGTTCTCTGGCTCGTCCGACCGCATGATGTATTTTTTGGTTATGCTAGCTGTTCCTTTAGCCCTTTGAGGCTGTAGCTAGCTACCAACAAAGCCAAAAGACCGTAGGTCTTTGGCTCGTGGGCCTTTTGGCCCATTAAGAAACAAAGTAGTGATCTTGAAGCTAGCTGCTATCTACTTGGAAGGATTAAAAAGTTTAATTCAAGTTTAAAAATAGTTTACTACAAGTATAAATTATTAAAGAAATAAATTAGGAATAATTTATAATTGAAAATACAAGTTTAATATAATTAAAAAGGTACAAAATAGGACAAAGAGTTGGACGAAAACCCATGGGCTGGGCCACGACCCACGGACGGTGGGCCAGGTCAGACCCGGCACGCACCTAGGTCGGGACTGACCCGGAATCAGAGAAATAGGCCCGACTCACTATGACCCGGCCGAGCCCGGGTTAGGCTCGGCCTGGCCTTGAACCCGGCGGGGTAGGTCACGGGCCTGAACCGGCCCGGCCCACGCACACCCCTAAAGATAGCTGTCAGTTCTGCAAAATTCTTTATATCATGATGGAACAGTAAATTACTAGCTCATGTTGAAGTTAGGCTTAAGAAAATTGTTCTAGTATTTCATTATTGACTTATTTTGTGTCTTGAATTGGAATAATTAAATTGGCATCTGAATGAGCCTTTCTTTATGTGTGAGAATCTTGTTATTTGGCACTTGATCCCGTGAAAGAGCTCTGCTAACAATCTACTCCTTTCCATTTATCATGCCATCAGATGCGCACACTTGCAGATGAATTTTGAACAATGTTTTAATAGTATAGAACCTCTAGATGTAATGCTACTGGTTTGTACTCCTTGACATCCTTTTACTTATTTATGTATTATTATTCCACCTTTTTTTTGAGTAGGTACTTAAAAGAATGGCTTCTTATGCTCAGAGCAGTGCAGATCTTTTAACAAATCTGATCCTTGATGGTCAAAATGGTTCATTCACGTGGGAGGTGAGGCTTGATCAAAGTACTTTTCACTTCAAAATAATACAATATAACTATGAACTTAGTAATCTACATTGTCACATCATACGGCAGTGTCTTTTCCGGACTCCTTTGAACAAATATGATGCTATAGTTCTTCTACACCGAGATAAACTCTCCTACCCACAGCGCCTTCTTTTCCCTGCTGAGGTTAACCATGGTTAGTTTCTGCTTTCTTCTTTCCATTTTCCATTGATTGTCATTGCTATTCTGAAACTGACTGTTAGGGTGCAACTCTTACAGGAAAGCATGTAATATGGGGAAAAGCGAACAAAGATTTCCAGCCCTACATGACTCTTCGAAATGCACTCAGGAGCTTGGAAGATGCGAGGAACGGGCTACTGGTGGACTTTGATCCAACTAGATACTTTCTAGAGGACCTGAAAGTAGGGCTGCAATTCTTTAAACCATTCGAACAAGATCATTTATTTTCAGAGACCAAGTGTGCTATGGTGTCACTGATTTTTTTTGCAGGGAGAATTCCCGGACGCCTTCAATGTGTGGTATGATTCATTTGGAGGTGATGCAATTGGTTTGACATGGGAGAAGAAGGTTTCAAAGGTAACATAGTTCTATGGCTAGTAACAAAAGAGAAATACCATTACATATCAGACCACTTAAAAAAGGGCTAGGTGGAGTTCAAGGGGTCTGAGCGTGTCTATATATTATATACAATTAGTTGGAAACTTTATGATGAGCTTTCAGAATATAGGATCTGTCCCATTATGTCAGAATATGAACAAAACTGAAATCAAACCATTATGTCAGAATATGAACAAAACTGAAATAAAAAAGGGCTAGGGTTATGAATATGAACAAAACTGAAATCAAACCATTATGTCAGAATATGAACAAAACTGAAACCAAAAAGGGCTAGGCGGTATTCAAGGGGTTTGACGTGTTTATAATATATACAATTAGGTGGAAACTTTATGACGGGCTTTCGGAATTTAGGATCTATAACATTACGTTAGAATATGAACAAAACTGAAATCAAATTAGCTGAACTTGGTCTTGAAGATATCGAAAACTGTTCAGAGAATCAATAATTTAGACTTTGGAATCTGCTAAAGTTGTTGTTGGCCAATGTCCAGACAAGTAAATTCTCAATCATTTTCTTTGTATCTCTTGAAATATATGCCTGCATTGACTTCACTTAAATACTTTAGTTTCCTTGTTTATGAAATTGTTGATGAAAAGCATTTTCTTATGTTCTAAAACAGCTAACTAATACCTCCGAACTACTATTATTAGAATTCTAACTTGGCCTGTCTTCCTAACTATTGTTTTGACTTTGCCATGTGTTTGGATTTTGTGTCTGTTCTCAAATTATCCCAGTAATAGTTCCCCTTTTAAAATATCTTTTAGTTATTTGAAATATTGAGACATTAGCTTTTGAGCAATTTGTTTCTAGCTCCCATGGGTTTCATATTGCATCTAGTGTCACCTCAAATTTTCCAGATAACCACAATTATCTGAAGTTTGTGAATTTTGCTAAGGTTTTTTTTATTAAAAACTTTTTTGTTTCTTGTTTAACTAGAGTAGACAAGCTGTTGTCCCTAACATTTTAACAAGCTATGTTGCTTTCCTGCAGAAACGTAACAGAGATGAAGCCAACGAGACTAACAAGGAACTGGCAGGATTGCTTGAAGACGTGGGAAAAATTGGTAAAGGTTTCGTCAAGAGTGTTTATCTCCTCAAAGCTCCCAAGCTCCAGGCTTAATTCTAGACTTTTCTCCAAGAATGAGTAGCCAGTTTTTGTTAAGGGATGAAAAAAGGCTTGTAGCCGATAAGATTCCCTAAAGATGTGAGAAAGGTTTGGCAAAGGCTTGATCAGAATGTTTTATCTTCTCAAACGTCCAAAATCCAAGAATGAGAATACAATTTTGTTGAGGGAGGAGAGATGGCTTGTACAAGTTAAAGGGAATATGACTCGCAAATGTAGGTGGTGGAAATGTGTAATGCTTATTTATCAAATTGAAGATGGGTGAATTGCCCTATTATGATCATGAACAGTTTCTCTGGTGTCTGATAACGTAATACATCCTCAAGTTTATTTTGTTCTGGCTGAAGCTATTATCAACTCCCCCGTTTGCCCAAGAAGTTCGATCTAGTTTTTTCTAGGTGGTAATTCAATACAATTAAAATGTAGCTAATCCTTTTTAGCTTGATTTTGAAGTTTAATTAACTTTTGGATTTATTTTTGCTGCAAAATCTGCCTTCATCCATTGTCCTTAACCTTTAAAATAATAAAGTAATATTAATAAAATAATAAAGATAAAAAATAAGATCTCTTGTCCTTCTGTATGAATTGTCAGCCATCAAGTCATTAACCAACCCCTAGGATAAATTTTGTAAACAGTCTCTTTTGGACTTTTAATCCCAAAAAACGTTTTATTTTGCACTTAATTACAAAAACCAATCTGGTTTCGGCCTCAGCGCTGAAACCAGGTCGGTTTTTGAAAAAAACTTCCAAAACTTTACGGGATTTCAAATCTTGTGAATCTTTTTGAACGTTCAAACTTCACAGGACTTCTAGTCCCGTGAAGATTCAAATTTTCAAAAATTTCACGGGACTTGAAGTCCCGTGAAGTTGCACTTTTCCAAACCTGCACATCTGTTTGTGCATGTTTTTCATATGCGAAAGGTTCACCTGTGAACAATATGTTATTTCATATAAACATATAAACTTTCAGTCATGAATTAAACACAAATCTAACTTCACACACGAAGATCACATATAAAAATAATAATTGATCCACAAAATTATTGATTTGCAAATTCATAAAAGTTACAAATTTCAACAAAATAAGATCACATACAACTCATAATTCCTCCTCTCCTTCCTCTCCCTCTCTTCCCCCTTCCCCTCCCTCTTCCCCGCCATCTGAGTATCCGGTTGTGTATAAGGTTGAGAAGTGCCGGCTCCATCAGCTTGAGAAGTGCCAGCTCCATCAGCATGAGAAGTGCCTGCTCCATCGTCACGTGTCCTACGTCGTCGCATGTACGCTTGCCCAAATGATCGTGACCTGTCCTCACGGCCTACAAACTCGTCGACGTGAGTTCTATGAAACACCTGAGCTATTCTCTTCTTGATCCTGCCAGGAGCCCTAACATCGCCGTTGAATCCTGAAACTCAGGCATGTGCGCATCAATATCAGCTTCAATATCATCAAAAGCTGTGACCTACGAGTTAAACAATACATACACAATTTATTAAGTATCTATGTTTAAAATTCCGAGTTAAACAATATATACACAATTTAGTTTAGAAACTTATGTAACTGTCTGTTGGTAGGTGTGACACGTATCTAGCTGATGGATGTGGGTCACGCGTGATATCCCAATACCAGCGCATAGTTAACAACTACGTCTCTCTCATTCTGTATGAAATCTCACTTGTGCGTCCACCGGTCTATGTAGTACGCACGGAGTACGGCCCAGTCGGTCCGATGCGATGTAGGTCACCGCCTACGATTGATCACCTCAACAGGATCCGTCACATGCTGAGAATGCAGAAATTGGCATAGCACACGGTCGGGGACATGCATCTCCATGATCTCCCAACAGATCAATGGAACTCTGCTCTCCACAAATCGGGACTATCCTGACAGATAGGTACAAGAGTATGCATTTTGAAATCCGACAGTGAATAGGGTCTCCACTTGAACTGAAATAAGATAAAATATTTTTCAGTATCAACAACAAAACTATAATTCATACGAATTGAGTTCTATATTTACCTGTTCATGTTAGAGGACATCAAGCTCATTTCTGTAAAACTCACGATGTCGCGTCGCAGATTTGTATTTAGCGAACCACATATTATACCTATTTGGCATAAAAAATATATGAGTGCAAATTCAATATGAATAAAACATTACATACAATTATACTTGTATGCCAAAGGAAACTGGCCCTGTAGGTTGCGGTGCACACCCAAAGTAGGACGTCCAATGTGAATGCGCTCCCAAGATCAAATCTGGATCACCGTGCAGCATCCCTTGAATTCTTTATTCTGCATCAAGGATACTCTACCCAGTTCTCTATACAAGTATGCTAACACCGTACTGCCTCACGATAGTGCGCCTCATACACCCAAATCCTCTAGGAGTGGAAGCCATCGTGCATGTACAAGGGTCTTGTTCGCATTCATTAAAACTGTATCTTACGATATGAAATGATCGAGCTTGCACAATTTGAGCCGCTAACAGTTCTTCAACCTTCGACGTGAACTCTGAATGGATATTTTCATCAAGTATGCAACGTTGGAGAAAGAAGTTATTAAGTTTATAAAATGTTTTAACAACTGGTGAATGTATTGGCATACCGCGTGCTCTCCTAAGCACACCATTGAAACTCTCAAAAGCGTTTGTAGTCACCATACATTATCTGATGATAATTCATAAACAGTCCTCAGATTTTCTCTTTTAAGTGCTTCGGGATAATATGGTAATATCTCATAAGATTTGTCCTAATCCCCGAATATTTTTAACATCATCTTCCTCCTAGCATTCCAACACTTGCTGTATGATACATCCAAGCTGCACGCAGTATGCACTAGAATATAGATATCTTTTGGCATTAGATCAAGATCCCCCCTTAGATGCGATAAAATCAATCGATATATAAAAGAAGAGGACACATGCTTGTTATTCATCTCTAATCGAGGATTGGTACATGTGTGGAGTCCGTTGTAAGCTGTGATTTTAAATTTCCCACCTACTCTTACACCCGAGAATGAATTCAGCTTCCAAGGACATTTCGCATTCCTGTCGTGGTGTCCACCGTTATCTTCTTCTTCACCATCTTCGTGATAAAAACAAACCACATTATAGCTTGTTGTGTTATTTTTTATTGGCCTAAACTTGACATTTTTTGTAATGGCATACAAGCGAAGTGCATGGATCAATTTCTCCTTACTTTCAAATAGATCCCCTTTCATGAATGAGAAGTCCTCGCCTTACTTTCAAATAGATCCCCTTTCATGAATGAGAAGTCTTCATGTGTCATCAACGATATTAGTGCCGATATGAATATTTTCCATCATGGAGTTATCAATCCATTCTTCTCCTTGAAGTTCATCGGACGGCAAATCCTCTAACACGACGTACTCATTATTAGTATAACATCCGTCAATGTGTTAGTTGTCCCCTTTATCACGATCTACCAACGTCATGCTATTAATTTGTAAGCTGTCCTCTTCATCACCATCCTCAGATTCAACACTTGCATTATCATCTTGATGGGACGTGCTAGTATCAAAAGCATTTAACATGCCCACAAATAAAAGACCGCTTATGTATTGTGGCTGTTTCCAGCCTTCATCCTGTTGCGGAGATAAAAAGCCGACAGAGTCAACTTCAAGGTCCTCCAACATGCGGGAATACATTCCGTCGTGATTCACCGATTTGCCCAAATTCCTCTAATGTTTTTCAATAAACAATTCCACCGAACGCTTCTCGTCATGTAAGACTCTAATGAGACCCATATCATAGTCACTTGATATTTGAATACCGCTTGTTCTATTCCCCCTAACGGGATAATTGCAAATAACATTGAGTTGATACTCACGTGAGTTGGTTAATACAAGTTTGTGTAATTCATTAACCAATTCATCAAAAGTACACGACTTTGATATAAACAAGGGTTTCGTCACACCTCCTTCATAAACAAGCATATTATTTTAGAGATAGTTAATCTTCCCATCATATGAACAAAGAACTAGGACTCGATCGTTCATCGTTACCTCTGAGGAGCAAAAAATTCAATATTAATATTAGAAACTCATAATTTTACATAGTGAATCTCTTAGACTGATACTAGAAATTTTAACCAAAATGTTAACCAAGATATTGAGAAATTTTAACCTAATTTTAATATTAGAAGTTTTAACCAAATGTCAAGTCTTAATATTAACTTCACGGTTACAAATTTTGATATTTCCCCCTCTAACCTCATACACAACATTGTTTAAATTTTCTTCGCAAAATGCCTAAAATATTTCCAAATTTATTTTAAAAGCTAATTTCTTACAAGTAATCACCAAGATATTGAGAGAATATATATAAAATTAAAATAGATTTTTTTTGTATTGTGGCTGTTTCCAGCCTTCATCCTGTTGCGGAGATAAAAAGCCGACAGAGTCAACTTCAAGGTCCTCCAACATGCGGGAATACATTCCGTCGTGATTCACCGATTTGCCCAAATTCCTCTAATGTTTTTCAATAAACAATTCCACCGAACGCTTCTCGTCATGTAAGACTCTAATGAGACCCATATCATAGTCACTTGATATTTGAATACCGCTTGTTCTATTCCCCCTAACGGGATAATTGCAAATAACATTGAGTTGATACTCACGTGAGTTGGTTAATACAAGTTTGTGTAATTCATTAACCAATTCATCAAAAGTACACGACTTTGATATAAACAAGGGTTTCGTCACACCTCCTTCATAAACAAGCATATTATTTTAGAGATAGTTAATCTTCCCATCATATGAACAAAGAACTAGGACTCGATCGTTCATCGTTACCTCTGAGGAGTAAAAAATTCAATATTAATATTAGAAACTCATAATTTTACATAGTGAATCTCTTAGACCGATACTAGAAATTTTAACCAAAATGTTAACCAAGATATTGAGAAATTTTAACCTAATTTTAATATTAGAAGTTTTAACCAAATGTCAAGTCTTAATATTAACTTCACGGTTACAAATTTTGATATTTCCCCCTCTAACCTCATACACAACATTGTTTAAATTTTCTTCGCAAAATGCCTAAAATATTTCCAAATTTATTTTAAAAGCTAATTTCTTACAAGTAATCACCAAGATATTAAGAGAATATATAAAATTAAAATAGATTTTCTTAAAATTTACCTTAATTTTTGATGATGCCCTAATTCCGGTTATCTCCGACGACGACGACGGCGGCGACGGTGATGGCCAGCTATGGGAGCGGCGCCGGTGAGGGGAGGTGAGGGGGTCAGGTGAGGATAGACGAAGTTAGGGTTTTGGGAGAGAGAGAGGGGGTCGGGTGAGGTTAGGGTTTT